TTATTAATTTTTAAATTAATTGTATCTTTTCATGTATAACTACTAATTTATTCAAAAGTTCGGTTGTGTCTTTTCATTTTATTTTATTAATTATATCATTTTGTACATAACCGCTGATTATCAACGGTTGTTTCTTTTAATACTATGTCTTTTCAAGATTGTATTTATTAATTGATATATGTGTTTATTAGTGAATCTATGATTACATTTTATGGTTACTTTATCAATCATTGCAACTCTTGAGTTTATAGTTATTTGCTAAACATTGTAACTCTTGAAATTAAAGTTAATTTACCAACCATTGCACATCTCGAGTTGATAATTATTAAACCATTGCAACTGTTCAAAATTTAAACAATTTATTTTTTAATATTGAAGCATTACATCTTTTCAGAATGAAGGCATAATTACTTATTGAAGAGGCACAACTTTTCATTAAGAAGATACAACTTTCTACCAAATATATATATAACAATAAGACAGTTTTTGTTTTAATTTTTATTTAGAGATGGATAAACATTCTATTTATCAAGCATACAATTCACGTGTTAAACGTCATAAAGTTGAAGTATCAGCTACAGTTACAAGTTTTTCTAACACCATTGGCATAATATCTACGAGTTCACTATTATTAAATGAAGAAGGTATTATTCATTCAAATAATATGATCAAAATTAGTTATTATGTATTGGCGTTTTCATTTTTTTTAAATCTACTCATGTAGGATGTTTATAAAACTTGGTTGATAAGGTTTAAATTGTTATTGTTTCATCCTCCATTTAAAGGTGTAAAATTTTAATACGAAATTGATATAATATATTTAAAAAAATATTTTGCTTACAGAAAAGTATAAAAAATCAATAAAAACTTTCAATAGAATCAGAAAGTTTCTCCCAACAACAATCTTCATTTAACAGTACGTCAGTTAAATTATATATTTTTTTCAAAAAATATTTTTGGGATGTTAATTAAATATATAAATTAATAATTCTTTTTTGAATAGATGGTGATTTTCAACCAACATCAAACAATAGCATTATTCCAAAAAAAAAAAAGTTGGATAGTGAGTATTTCTATTGCTACTCATAACAACATAACTGTTTTTTTAATATATTAGAACTAATCGTGTTAAAAAATTAAAAGAAAATAAGGAAGACCACAAAAAAGGAACCAAATAATAACTTAATGCAATGTCCCGATTGTAATGCTTAGGTTTGGTCATTAGAAAGTACTGAAACAGATTTAGTTAGTAAATAACCATTGTTCTCAATTTGTTGCAAACAAGGTCGTGTTCTACGCCCTACTGCTCGTGAGCCTCCACCGTTATTAGTTAAGCTTTTAAGTGAGTATTTGTTTCTTCATTCCACCGTTATGGTTATTTTGTCAACCATTGCAACTCTTGAGTTTATGGTTATTTACTAAACATTGCAACTATTGAGTTTGGAAAAAAAATTGTAATTCTCATGTCAATTATATCACTAATCTTACAAGGCAACATAATATTTTTTCCATGAGTTTTTAGTTCTATTTTAATTTTTTTTTTAAATTCTATTCAGCTATGAATATAGAAGAACTTGAATTAGAGGGTCTTATATCCACTCAATATCCAGAAAATAAACAGAAAAATGGTAATTCTCTTGGCAAATTTATCACTAATTTTAGAAGGCAACATAGTCTTTTGTCCTATGAGTTTATTAGATATATTTAAATCTGATTTTTAAATTGTATTTATCAATTAATATGTAAGTGTAGCACTACTTTTGGTTATACTATAATAGTTAGTTTATTTATTTGACATAGAAAATATGATATACCAAACTATAATGGGACTAAAGATGAACTTTCTAAAGTAGGTAATGCAACTAATAGATTTGGATGTGAAGTGAAAAAAGAAGACAAAGAAGAAGCCAATTTATGTGAAAGTGATGAAGATTTTAGTCTTGAAAATAAGAAAATGAAAAATCACAAAAAAAAAATTTCAAGACAAAAGAAAAGGCTAGGAAGAACAAAAAAAAAACTAAATCTGTGAAAACTATGAATGAACCATTTTCTCTTTGTATTTTTTATTATTTTTAAATTAATTATACATTTTTGTGTATAATTTTTCTAATATGAAAAGTTATCATTATTATAAAGTTTTGTTTTTTTGTTTATTTTTTTTAAATTATACATTTCTGTGAAAAACTAAGAATGAACCGTTGTGTCTTTCCATTGAATATGTTTTTAACTGTATTTTTTTGTATATAACTGCTAGCTGTTGTATGGTTATGTCTTTTGGTTTTTATTTGTATATGTGTTGTTTATTTAGTAAATTTATGATTACATTTTAATAGGAAATGAATATTGGAGATTTAAGGGTTATGGTTATTTTGGTGAATCATTACAACTATTGAGTTTATGGTTATTTTACTAAACATTGCAATTTTAGAAATTATGTTTATTTAATCAACCATTGCAACTTTTGAGTGTATAATTATTTACTAAATATTGCAACTCTTGAAGTTAAGGCTAATTTACCAACCATTGCACCTCTAGAATTAATGGTTTTAAACCATTGCAACTTTTCAAAATTTAAACAAAATTTATTTTTCAATATTGAAGCATTGTATCTTTTCAAAATAAAGACACAATTACTTATTGAAAAGACACAACTTTTTATTAAGAAGATACGAATTTCTACTAAATTATATATATATATATATATACACCAATAAGACACAATTTTTTAATTTATTTAGAGATGGATAAACATTCTATTTATCAAACATACAATACACCTGTTAAACGCTATAAAGTAGAATTATCTGTTCCAGTTACAAGTTTTTCTAATACTATTGGCATAAGATCTACGAGTTTACTATTGTTAAACAAAGAAGGTATTATTTATTCAATAATATGATCAAATTTATTTATTATGTATTGGATTTTTATTATGAAATTGATAAAATATATTTTTAAAATATTTTGCTTGCAGGAAAGTATGAAAAATCAATGAATACATGAAAGTCAATAGAATTAGAAAGATTCTTCCAACAACAATCTTCGATTAACAGTATGTCACTTCAATTATATTTTTTTTAAAGACTTTTGGGATATTAATTTACATATATTAATAAAAAAAATATTTTGAATAGATGGTGATTTTCAACCAATATCAAATGATAGCATTATCCCAAAAAAATTGGAATTGTGCGTATTTATATTGCTAGTCATAATATCATAACTGTTTTTTTTTCATAAATTAGAACTTAATGTTAAAAATCTAAAAGAAAAGGAGGAAGACCACGAAAAAAATAACTAAATAATAATTGAATGTAATGTCCCGATTTGTAATGCTTGGGTTTGGTCATTAGAAAGCACTGAAACATATGAAGTTAGTAAACGGTCATTGTTCTCAATTTGTTGGAAACAAGCTTGTGTTTTACTCCATACTGATCGTGAGCCTCTGTAATGTCTCCGATCCGCGATAGGATCGCCGGGGAGGGACCATGGCCGTGAGAAGGGATTAGAGTCTAAGTAAAGACTTGAGCCATGGTCCAAGTATGGGCTAGATGCGTACGGCTAAGTTATCGTACCGCCAGACGAACCGAACGATCAACTCAAGTATGGGCTAGGCCGATCGGGCGGTAAGTCGTGGCCGAAGCGGTAAGGGTTCACCGAGCACACCAGACGATCGATCGAAGTATGGGCTAGGCCGATCCGATCATGTGTCTCGGCTGAAATCCTAGAAGATCGCCGGCTATGGAATTGAGATTGGGCCGGCGATGGTGTGCAATAGATTGTGTAGATATAGACCGGATCCGGTTGGCGCGGCTGGCGAACGGCTTGGGAGACGTGACCGATCTTACCAAGACTCGGCCTGTCCGAGGCCGACCCATGATCCGAATTGGACTTAGAATGCTGAGGGAATATAACGGGTTTGGGGAATCATGTGCATGAACGCATACATGTGCATGAATAATACTTAGTTGAAATGGCATATACTTATATTGTTGGGTTTCAGGTAACAATGACCGTGAGAAGAACCTGGCTTAGATGCGCGGACCGTTTAGCTAAGGACGATGGGTGGTGTGTTAGAACGGATAGACAGGATCATGCGAACTTATAATAACTTATACGCAGACTCTTAAGTTGCATTGAATCCTTTACTTTATCAATAAAATATATGTTCTTTTACTTGTTTTAATTACATATTGACTCTAAGTTAGTGAATCCCAAAATACACATATAGAATACGGATTAAATAAAGGACTTGACCCTAAAAATGAACTGATGGGTTCGGAGCCACATAGTGGTCCGACCGGGAACAAACTCTACAGGCTTAGAGTCCGGGATGAGGTGTTTCAACCTCCACTGTTATTAGTTAAGTAGTGAACCTTTGTTTCTCCGATATAAGAACATATAATTTTATCATAATTTTTACTTCTATGGGTGCAAAAATTTATTATTCTGTTCAAAATACATATGGGATGTATTGTTTCAAGGTTTATAGTGAAAATTATGATCTTATTGGATCTGTACTACCATGTGATGGTGAGCCACCAAAGTTCTCTCAAATGTATTTTTTTGATACAGCTAACAAGTTAAAAAATCGCATAATATCACACAATTAAAAATTTGTTAAGCCAATATAATATGTCCAATGCTATATGATGTTAAAAATTCAAGATAATTTTTGGTTTTCGAAAGATAATGTTGACTGAAAATGTTTCAAAACTATTTCTAATGGTTTAAAATCCAAATATTTCTAATTTTTTTATAGATCATGATATATTTGATTTTTTTTTTCATACAAGATTTTGTACTAAAATTTTATTCTCTTTGTTTGGAAATTTTAATAATTCATATCATGATAATATTTTTAAAAACTTCTCATTGTCAAAAGTATATCAACGATTGTGTTCTATCGCTAAAATTTCTTTTGCGATTTCTCTCGAGACCTAGTTATAAACAAAAACATTTTTTATTAATACAAATCTTATTTCCATCTACATGCCATAGTAAACCTCCCTTTTTTCTCAAAACTTTGTCCTTGCCACTAAGCTTTACAAGGAGAAAGTGGTGAACCGCATAGACAGCTGTTGCCCGCAAACACACTGGCCGGGAATTTTGTCACCGGAAGCTTACCACAAAGATGGTTTTGACTCAAGTTAAGTTTTTTAAGTCCTGCCACTGTTGCCGGAACCTTCCCAAATACCAAGTTTCTTGATAAATCCAGTGTTTGCAGCGTCTTCGCAAACGTAAGATTCCCCAAGTCAAATTGTAGTTTGTTACCCGATGCTTGGAACTCATATAGACCCTCTGCCTGGTTCAAAAACTTTGCTGCGTTCCCTGATATCTCGTTTTCTGATAGATCGATGTAATTAAAGGATTTGATTTTCATTGGCTTCCAATCATCTAAGCTCATCTTGATCCCGCATTTAACAAGCTTCAAACTGTAGATGACAGGCGACGAAGTCACCCACTTTGGAACCGTTTTCAAATGAAATTGGTTGTACGACAGATCTAGCTCGGCAATGCCGTCAACGAACTTCAAGGCAGGGAATGGATCGGTTAGAAGATTGTGGGAGAGTCTAAGATGGAAAAAACTGGTCATGTTGGAGAAACTCATTGGCACGACTCCAGTGAACCGATTCTTGGAGAGATCCAGAGTGGAAAGCGACTTGAATCTCGATAAATAGCTAGGGATCGTCCCTGAGAGATTGTTCTTGCTCAGATCATGGTACGTGAGAGTCGCTGCAAGCGATGCAATAGACAAAGGAAGCTTCCCGGAGAGTCTGTTTCGGGAGAGATCGAGAGCTGTGAGCTTCGTCATGGATTTGAAAATATCCGGGATGGTGCCAGAGAGGCGGTTGCCAGCAAGACTAAGCCAAGTTAACCGAGTCAAATTGGATACCGAACTCGGGATCGGACCGGTGAACTGATTATCATCAATAGTGACATCAGTAAGGCTTAGTGTACCAATGTTGGCCGGAAGGGGACCCGAGAGACGAGTGCCAGAAATGCGTAATACGGTTAGCTTTGGCAAGTGGAAAAGGAATTGGGGAAAAGAACCAGTGATCTTAAGATATGTGAAAGAAACGTCCTCCAGGTGCTGAAGTTTGGCCAGGGACGGTGATATGGTTCCCCAAAGATAACCTCGGCCAAGAGAGGTATCTCCTCCGGATACCGACAGTCCAGTGACGCGGTCGTCGGTGATGCATCTGACACCGAACCAGGAGCAGCAATTAGTTCCTTTCTTCCAAGAGTTGAGAAGGCCCACAGGATCTCGGGTTATACCAGATTTGAAAGCTAAAAGACCTGATTCATCATCGGGATGACACCTGGCTTCTCCGTTCGAACTTAAATGATGGAGAGAGATAATGGCGGCAAAGATGGAGATAGTGAAGAAGGAAGAGTTCATGGTGTTGTGTTAAGACTCAGAGAAGCAACTCGTGCGTTGCCTATTTATAGAGCAGCCACCATGAAACTCTTCCTCTCTCAGGACCTTCACTATCTTCAACTCGTGCGTGATTCAATTAAATAATCATTTTTCTTGCATTTATTTTGTCGGCAGCAACTTGTGTGTAGCTATTAATAGAAATTTAAGTTTTATCTTTTGGAGAACTGCTCAGTCAAACTCTAAGATGGATCATTTTATTTTCTCCTTATTTTACAAAATCACGTTTCAAAATAAGTTGTCAGATGTTGACCTGGGCCACTAGTAGTAATAATGGCATCCTAAAAATACATTTTTTTTTGCCAGAAAGGTTTTGGGTACACTCGTCGGTTTGAATCAGATTTTAATATTTTTATCGATCTCGTGATCTTTTAGATTATCCATGGTATATTTTCGGTTGAGCTATCCACCTTTGATGAAAACACTTTTTCTCTAAACATTATATTACGAGAACTTCTTTTAATTGCTATTAAATGGTTTTTTTTGTTCCAAACATATTATTGCTAAACTTTTTTTTTTCAAAACTGTAAAAACATTAATTTTTCCATAAATGCTACAAATACTAAAAAATGAGTTTTAAGGGTTTATAATTTAAATATATGGGTTTGGGTTTGGGTTCACTATTTTAAGAATATGGTTTAGATTTTGGGTTTTAAGGTTTATTTTTTAGAGTTTAAGGTCTAGTATTGAGAATTAAAAGTTTAGTTTTAATTTTGTGGTACTTATGGTAAAAATCAATGTGTGCGGTAATTTTGCAATGAAAAAATAAGTGATGATATATGGAATAAAAACTCAGTTTAGTGGTATTTTTGAGATGTGGCCATTATAATATTTCTTGACGTTTGAATCTGAACACATGCATGTGTTTATATACCCAAGATATGAGATCTTTGTGAATCTAGATCTTATTCTTAACAAAGTCCTAGATCTTTGTGTTAATATACAAAGGAAATCATATTATAAATTGTATACAAATTATACACAAAATCCTATACACAAATTATACACACAAAAAAAAAAATTATACACAAAATCCTAACACATTTTTCAAGACGGACTCATAGAAGTGATTCCATTTTTGACTGATAAGTCAAAAAAATGGAACTCGAAGAAATGAATTCGTGAGAGCTTCAACTAATTTTTTTCTTTTTTTTTGTTCTACCACATCCATTAATAAATCTAAGAAAGAAAATTTTCACGAACCAAAATAACTATTTTAGCAATCGAGTCAGCTGAACAATTGGCCTCTCATAGAATAAAATGATAGGAAATCGTAGGTACAACAAGGCTAACAGCCTAATATCATAAGATTAAGGAGGGATTGGCAATCCGAGAGGTTACAAGCTGCTGATCGAGTTGCCAATGCTTCTGCCACTATAGGGGCAGAGACTCTTGTTTTTGGTCAAAACAATGTGTGAATGTTCTTTGTCGGGATACCCAGTTTAGATCTAAATCAGTCTATGGAATGAGTCTCCAGATGTGCCTCTATAATTATATTCTCTTACCAGGGAATCAAACTTAGCATTAGACTGAAAGGGGCTAATAAGGGAAAAAAACCTCCACTTTTTAAAACCGTTCAAATGATACTTAAAGAGTATTTCTAGAATCCTTTTATGTTTCGTGAATTATGAAAATGTACAAATATATTACTTATGATCTTAAAAACTGTTCAAATTGATCCCTTAGCATTACCGCCATTACCTAATATTACTTACCACTGAAACGTGTATGATTCTACATTATCTAATAGTTCAAATCAATTTACGAATTCAAAATTAAACCCTAAAATCACAAAGAAATTATTTATATATAGTGGCAGTTAATTTTGAAACAAAAACATGAGTTAGGAGCAACCATAAAACTAACCTCTTTCTCCATTCCATTTGACGTCTGGTTTAGTGCAAATCCCTTGAAGATTTAGAGAGCTAAGGTTTATTTGGGTTCTTTGTGAAGGTTTAATTTCTTTGATTTGAATAAATAGAAGTTACTTTTTTAGGTTTTACTTCTTTGGTTTGGTTGGATTAGATTAATTTTATCTGATTTCCTTGAGGCTTGGAGCCATGCATGCGACGGTTAACAAGATTATACCCTGTAAAATCTTGCCTCAATTTTATTTCATGCTCATACCGTTATGTTCCACAGCTAAACTCAAATAATATCAAGCTTCTTGGAAATTTAAGTTGTAATGTAGCTTTTTGGCATCTTAAAATTACTTTATTTTTTTATTAGTACTAATCCTATTTAAGACACTTACGTGTCATAGAAAATTTTATTTGTTTTTATAACTTTGTTTCCTTGCCGCTACGCTTTACAAGGAGGAAGTGGAGAGCCGCATAGACAGTCGTTGCCGGCGAACACACTTGCCGGGAACTTTGTCATTGGAAGTTTTCCACAAAGATGGTTTTGACTCATGTTTAGCTCTCTCAGTCCAGCCACCGATGCCGGCACCTTCCCAAATACCAAGTTCCTTGACAGATCCAGCGTTTGAAGCGTCCTTACTAACGTCAGCTTCCCCAAGTCGAATTGTAGTTTGTTCCCGGACGCAAAGAACTCGTCGAGAACCTCCCCTTGGCTCAAGAACCTTGTTGGATTCCCTGAAATCTCGTTTTCTGATAGATCAATTCGAAAAAGAGAACTGATTTTCATTGGCTTCCAATCTTCTATTATCATCTTGATCCCGCATTTAGCCAACTTAAAATTTGAGATGACAGGTGAGGAAGTCACCCATTTCGGAATAGTTTTCAGATGAAATCGGTTGTATGACAGATCTAGATCGCGAATGCCGTTAACAAACTTCAAGGCTGGAAGTGGGCCGGTTAGACGGTTGTGCGAGAGTCTGAGTTCAAAATGTAAGACCGCGAAAATCCGATTGAAATCACGAATAGAAAATAGCAATATTATAAACGATATGTTAAGGTAAGAGATTAAAACGAGAGTTTGAAAACCGATTGAAAACAGACGAAAACACGGAGTCGAGATATGATCTCTTTCCTTAACTCAATAAATCGCCCGTAATGTGTGACGGTTTGTTGCGATTTTTGAATCCCACGATACAACCGTGATGAGACTATTACGCAACACCCGTAATAGAATCTGCGAACTAAAATACTACGCTATAACTCTCGAGACACTAACGATATTAAGACGAGAGGGATTTGCTGTGTGTTTGGAGTATTCGAAAATTCGATTCCTAATTCGATGATATAGAATGAGAGAAGAGGGCGTCTATTTATACTGGAAGGTTCAGCTTGATCCGCAAGGAATAAGTTTTTGCGAAAAGGAATATTACGAGATATTCTCCTATTTCCGCGAGTAAAAGGATTCGGAAATCTTCCGTTATTATCTGGACGCAATCTTTTATTTCTTAAGATTTATCTTTTCAATATGCAAATTAAAAAATGCAACGAGCAACGAGCCCGAGCCCGAGCCCAAGCCCGAGCCCGGCACCGGCACCGGCACCGGCACCGGCACCGGCACCGGCGACGGCGACGGCGGCGGCGCGCGTAGGTGTTTTTGCATAATGCCCTTTTACTTCCACAATGCTGTTGACCCTTATTGTGAGAATGTCATATTTATACAAGATATTTTTCTCCTTTGTGAGCAATGTGGGACAAATACACTTCTACTAAACTTCCACTTTTAGTTATAGCCGGAACATTTCATTTCCATAGGCTCAAACCCAAATCTCAAATGAATTTATAAGGCTCATTTGCTTATTAAACTTCATTTCTTATTCACACACAAACTCAATATTACAAATCCAAATGCTTATTAATATTGGGTTCCAACACAAAAAGACCAGTCAGATTGGCAAAACTCATGGGCACGACCCCTGAGAACTTATTCCTAGAGAGATCCAATGTGGATAGCCTCTGGAATCTTGATAAATAGTTAGGGATCGTCCCTGAAAGATAGTTCTGGTTCAGATAAAGGTATGTGAGAGTCGGTGCCAGAGATGCAATGGACGGAGGAAGTTCCCCGGAGAGTCTATTCCGAGAGAGATCGAGCAGTGTGAGCTTCGTCATGTGTTTAAAAATATCAGGGATGGTGCCAGAGAACTGGTTGCCAGCTAGAACTAGCCAAGTTAACCGAGTCAAATTGGATATTGAACTCGGGATTGGACCGGTGAACCGATTATTTACAAGTTGGACATCTACAACCTTGCTTAGTGCGCCTATGTTAAGCGGAAGGGGACCAGAGAGACGTGTCCCCGTGATGTGAAATGCTTTTAGCTTTGGTAATTTGAAAAGAAATTGGGGAAAAGATCCTGTGATTTTACTAGAGAAAAAGATAACCTTCTCGAGGTGCTGAAGTTTGGCCAGCAACGGTGAGATAGTTCCCTGGAGATAGCCTCCTCCTCCTTATATTGTCAGTTTGGTGACGCGGGTGCTGGTTTCGCAACCCACACCCGTCCATGAGCAGCAGTCAGTTCCTTTCTTCCAATCACTGAGAATGCCTGAAGGATCTCGGGTTATACCCGATTTGAAAGCCAAAAGACCCGCCTCATCATCAGGATGACACGTGGTTGCTCTGGTCGAACTTAAACAATGGGAAAGATAACGGCCACAAAGATGAAGATAGTGAAAGAGAAAGATTTCATGGTGGTTTTGTGTGGTGAGACTCTCAGAAATAACTCGTACGTAGCTACCTATTAATAGATATGTATTGAGATCGATCATCTTGTTATAAATCTTATCTTCCGAAAGCAACTTGTACGTAGCTATTCAATTATTAACAGAGCAACATCAACGACTCGAGAACTGCCGATTTTAAGCTCTATCATTTCATTTTCTCTACCGCAATTTTTTTCGAATAAAAAAAGTTGTATTCAAGAGCATTTTTTTATATTTTACACAGTCACGTTTCGAAAGAAAGAGTTGACGTTTGACCGAACCATTTGCATGTGGCAATAATAGTAGTGTCCGTAACTAGTGGTTAATTATCATCTCTGTCTCCACCATGCA